GGATTGAAGCCGGGGGGGTGTGCCCGGCTGGATCCTCTCCCACGGGGCAGGTGAGGCCCGGGATGACTGGAAGCCCCTTTGGCCCCTGCCCAGCGCTCGCTGCCGGGTGCTGGAGGGGCAGGAGGGGCTGCTCCCCGCCCTGGGAGGGCAGACGTGGCACTGCAAAGCCACGGCAAGAGCTCGGGGTCTGTGTGCGACCTCGAGGAGACTCACCCCGTTCTCTGGGCTCTTCCGTCGGGGCTCTCGGTTTGCGTTCTGCTCGTTCCGGTGAAGCGCGCAGAGCAGAAGGAGGTTGGTGCTCTGGAGCTTCTTGCCTCGCTGGCCGAGCCGGTGCAACCACGCAGGCTCATCCAGAGGGGTTTGCTCCCCTCAGCACGCTTTTCTTCACCTGCCTCTTGGAAACTGCAGATCTGGTTTTTTCCTGCAACTAGGAGTGACTCGAATTTCCGTCCCTGCACTCCGCTCATACAAGACTTGTATTCCACTCCTCTGCACTGATAGGTCACTCTCTGTGTCTTAATGGCTGTCAAGGCATTTTAGTTACCTTTTGTTACGATGCAGCAAAAAAGCAGTTTTCTGGGAGCTTTTAAAGAACATTAGATGCCATTTTTCCCGAGCTTTATTCACACATAGGTTGAGTTCACTTAGGGTCAAAGCACTTTCTTTAGTAGTTAGTTTCAGTATGAAATATGATTTTGCACATCCTTTTTCTGCAGCTGCTCTGATACTTTTTCTCTCTTCCACGGGCACTTGTGATCATCAGTGGAGTTCAGGAAACTGTTCCTGGGTCAGGCAGTGACATGTTTTGCCCCAACAACTCGAATGCCTTGTGCATCCCTAGAGCTTCCAGGTCCTTTTTTTATACCATGTGTCACATGTTGCTTTTATTTATTACATGTTTCTGGCTATTCAGGAATTTAAGATTCACAAGTGTGTTCTTAGATCTCCCCAATCCTGCAACCCCCAGAACATACTCATCTTTATTTACTTCATAAATATTTTTTTGCCGTAGAATATACGTCTGAAACATTAAACACTAATCCAAAATCAGAGAAAACCAGTCAGATAGCAGTGGGACACTCTTGGTTTGTGAAGAAGAGCCCTGCTCATGAATCATGATTTGAATGACTTGAAACAAGCGTGTTGTAGTGACTGGTTTGAACTGGCTTGACTTGATTTTCAGGGAAGAACTGACATTGTTTCCTTACAAGAATACTGTCAGCATAGAGGGAACTTCTTGCAACTCAAGAGTGTAGATTATTTCTTCTTTTTTTTTTCAAGATAAGCCAACTAATCATTGTACTATAATGACAGTAACAGGAGAGAACAGGAGTTAACTGTAGGTAAAACTGTACTGGCAGGGATGCCAACATGGAAAGCACAATAAGGTGATTTTTGAAATTACAAGGATTAGAGAAGGATTACAGTACAGTAATCTCATTAGAAGATTTACTGCCTGAAAACAAAACCAAGTCAGGACTAAAACCAGGTAAGATGTAGCAGGTGAATTGGTCATAGAATCATAGAATATGTGGGTTGAAAGGGACCTTTAAAAGCCATCTAGTCCAGCCCACACTGCAGGGCACAGGGACATTTTTTACTAGATCAGGTTGCCCAGAGCCCCATCAAGGCTGACCTTGAGTGTCTCCAGGGATGGGGCTTCCACCACCTCTCTGGGCATCCTGTTCCAGTCCTTCACCACCCTCACTGTAAAGAACTTCTTCCTAATGTCTCATCTAAATCTACCCTGCTCTAGTTGAGGCCATTGCCCCTCATCATGCCTTTGTAAACAGTCTCTCCCCAGCTTTCCTGTAGCTCTTCAGTTACTGGAAGGCTGCTATAAGGGCTCCCTGGAGCCTTCTCCTTTCCAGGCTGAACAGCCCAAACTCTCTCAGCCTGTCCTTGTAGGAGAGCTGCTCCAGCCCTTAGATCATCTTTGTGGCCTTCTCTGGACTCATTCCAACAGCTCCATGTCCCTCTTGTGTTGAGGGCTCCAGAACTTAACACAGTTCTCCAGGTGGGGTCTTATAAGGGTGGAGCAGAGGGCCAGAATCACCTCCCTTGACCTGCTGGTCACACTTCTTTGGATGCAGCCCAGGACATGGTTGGCTTTCTGGGCTGTGAGTGCACATTGTTTGGTTATGCCCACCTTTTCATTCGCTAGTACCCCCAGGTGCCTCTCTGCAGGGCTGCTCTGTATGAGATCATGCCCTAGTCTGTATTGATAACAAGGATTGCTCCTACTCAGCTGCTGGACCTTGCACTTGGTCTTGTTGAACCACAGGAGGTTCATGTGGTCCCACTTCTCTAGCTTGTCCAGGTCCCTCTGGGTAATGTCCCATCCCTCTGGCATGTCAGCCACACCGTCAGATGGTTCATATGGCTGCTGGTGTAGTCCCTTGGGAGATCAGTCATATGGGGAAATTTTATGTCAGAAGCAAATGGCAATTGCCCCATGTAATCAGGAGATATCTAATGACTAATTTGCAGTTTCCTAATGACAGATTCCTAATGATTTCCTTGGAAATCTTGGCTTGTAGCTTGGTCTTAAAAGGAAATTACATGATCAAGATGCCTCTCTGTCCTGGGTGGGCATTACCCTCCCCCACCAGTTTCACCCTTCCATTGAAGTTTGTATTAATTGCCCAACTTCAGAAGGATCTGACAAAGGGCTATGAAGGGACATGAACCAAGTTAATAGAAGTTTGTGGAGAGTCAATGTTGGATGGAGGGAGAGGGACCATCAGACCAGCACTGCTGTTGAGGGAAAATCTGTAGCATAAGCTGTGCTCTTTCCACCTTGGCTGCCCCAAGGAAGGGCCATCGTCCTTCCAAGACAACACTGATGAATGCAGATTTTATTTGCATATGTGCATTATGTTTATGGGAACACACACACTCGAGTAACCTTGATCTCCAGGCATCAGGTGCCCTGTTCTACCCTCATAGACCTCTGTGTGTCCATAACTAATTTCCTCCTAAACATCACCCACGACAGCAAAACTGAGGCTTCCACTGTATTGCCGGGAAGAAGGATTTCACCAGCTCAAGCAAACTGAGGCATTGGATGATGCACAGATAATCCAGTGCAGGTCATTGAAACTATCATCAGCTTATCCAGTTCTGAATAGATGTGGGGAGCAAATCTATTGAGTAAGAAATTGTCACTCAGACCCAGTCAGATGACATGTTGTTCTTGGACAGTACACATGAGTAAGGACAATTTACGTGGCAACGCTCGGTTTTATGCTTGGATGACTGTTCACAATATCTGAACTGTCAGACTCATTCCACAGTGGTTAACATTGAGGAAATTCCAGAAGAAGTCTCCTGGGGTCTGAAGTGTGAGGCTCTTTTGGATGTGGAGCAGCAATGAGTGGAACTTGGCAGTCAGCTCTCCAGCAGAGACATGTGCCAGGATGAGCAGGCGTCCGAGAGGTCATGAACGTGCTGAGATGCAGTAGACATTGCAGAGCTTGATCCTGTGAGACAGTACTTGTGCAAACAGGCCTGGTGCAAGGGAAATGGGTATCTCTGGGAGGATTTCTGAAGGCAAGGCCATCTGCATGAGCAAGGCTTTGTATCAGCAGACTTTCAGATCACCTCTAGCTACCTTCCTTGTGCATGTGGGTAGGCTCTCCAGTCCCAGTGACAGCAGCAACAAGGCTGAGCTGTAGATGAATTCTCCTGGATTCTACCCTTTTCCTCCAGCTCCCCTCACTGCCTGTGGCACATTGCCTCTGGAAAGCAAGGAAAGACAGGGGACAGCTAGCATCACATCAGCCACAGTTTACAAAGCAGAGTTTTTCCCTTCCTGCTGCTGTGTCTCTTTTGTTATGGTTAAGTCTGTCATGCATCGTAGGCAGTATAGATGTGTTTGAGGTAACTTTAAATTAGTTACCATGAGCCGTGGTCTCAGTATAGCTATGATGGAACTCAAGATGCCCACCTTGCTTATGTTCCTTGGAAGAAGCTACTGGGTGAAGATGCTCTGAAATCTCTCAGTGTCCTTAGGGTGGGCCTTAGGGTTACTGGAGCATCAGAAACTGTCCCAGCTTAGGTAAGCCCTAGGGAAACACATACAGAGTTTTACTACCCACATGACTCAATCTTCTACATGTTATCCAGCTGTTAATTCCTTAAATGCAGGAAGTGATCCTGTTGCTTTGTTGCACACTTTGGCAGCATGCCCTTCCACAGCAGGTATTTGGCTTGGCATGGATAGGGAGTGCATGCATTCCCTGGCAGCAGGCCCAGAAAAGCTACAAGACAATGAAGCAAGAGCCAGCATCTCTTTCATTTCAACAAGTGAGGACTTTTCCTAACTGCTCAAAAATAAGTTTGGGGGATATGTCCCAGGTACAAGTCATAGGTCAACTTTTTAACATCACTTAGAAACCATTTAATATGGACACTCTCTGAAGGGGCAGGGGTGTTTCCTAATAAGTGAGGTGTTTCCTCCAGTGCTTTGATTAGGAATTAATTACATTCTGATTTGTACAAGAGAGCTAGAAAAATGTGTCAAGTCACTGCTACCTACTCACCTGTACAGGCAGAGTATATATACTGCAGATATCCCCTCGTTATTATTATGTCACCTTTTTTCCTCTACCAATTCTATGTTTTATAATATTCCCTGCCTGGGATAGGGTGCTCTCCCCTAGCACCTGTGTGACCTCCTGTGGATCCAGCTCCATCATGAGGCACAAACATGTCATCAACTCTGCTCTCAGAGAGCCAACACTGTGGCTTTTCAATCCCCAGGAAAATTTGCTGGAGGCTGTAGCCAAATTTCAATATCATGCTATATTTTTGTGTAAAATATGTCTTGTGTCTACGGGATGTTTTATTTCCCTGAATTTTCTGGTGTGTTTCTTTAGTTTTGAACTGTTTCCAGTCCATATTCACATGTAAATAATACCTGAATATGTCAGAAATACAAGTATCTCCTTGTTCAACTTGTGTCACAAAGGATCTCAACTCAGTTTTGTCAACTGCATTGTGGCACACATCACACACTGTTATGCACTCATTTATTTAATACCTTTTGAGGTGTTGTTTGCATTTAAAATTATTATCTACAGGCAATGATGGCCAGCATTTTCTTACTTGCCTTCCTGGATCTTCACCTAATTCTGGAGTCCTTAGGCCTGTCTTTTTTCCCCTCAGCAGAGTGAGAAGTTCTCCTTTATTGGTGCTCATTGGTTACAATAAGAGCGTGAACAAACACACTGTCCATGGTTGCAAAAGAATGTGGTTGTATTACTCAAGCATTACCTTAGCAAACATGAAGGGTGGGTTTGTTTGGGAATAATTCCTCCTTTTTTCAGTTTCAGGTGCCAGCTAACCTTTTCTGAGACAGCTGGTGAGATTGTAGTTACTGCCACACTGAGACCTTGCTTTGTGTGACTCCTGGACATACAACAATTTTTAAAAGTGCATAAATTGACTGGCTAGTGGTAGACTGACTGGTTCTGGTATTTGATATCTGAGCTATAAGGGCAAGAAGGGCTTCATTTTGAGGATGGGAGAAAATAGTTCAAGCATTTTGTTCTTACCCCTCCAAGAGGGAAGAACCCCCAAGCTTTTTGTGGCAGGCACAAGCCTGGATAAAGATTACAGCTGAGGGACTCCTTCCACTCCCACATACCTGTTCAGGTGATAATCCTTTGAGGTCATTACAACTCCTGGAAGGCATAAAGAACTTCTCCTGGCCTTACCAGTAGCTGAAAATGTCCTGCATCTGATGAACTTCCTGCAGCTTTCTGCCCTTGCATCTGGGAAACATCAGGAACAACTGTTTATTCAGAAGGTGGAATGGATTTCTTGCTGTGGGCTGTAAGGTCTTGCTTGTTTGCCAGAAGCAAGCAGATTTTCTGATTGCTGGGGCAGAGCTTGTTTCTCTTGTTTGTGCATTAATTCAGCTGTAGTCATACTGACTGCACAGTTGGCTGCTGCTGCTTGTGTTTCTGGCTCTAACATCTGACAGCAGGATGTGGCCAATGCCTTGTGCAGGCATGATGCAGCATATCCTGTAACAGTCCATGGTTCTTCCACTGGTGTGATATAAGCATGGGAGAAAGGAGCCAGCAACATGCTGCCATTGTGCTGGCACTTTCTGGATAGTAATGTTTTGCAGTGATGGGTAGAAATATGGGAGGCTCCCCAGGGAGCGTGATCAGAAATTGATTTAAAATAATGCTGGTTTTGTTTCAGTTTGAAAACTTCAAACAGTATTTTCAGTTCAAGCAGAGCAACTCATGAGTAGTAAAATGCGTGTTTCATTTCAGGGCATTGTTTGCTGAGAATAAATCTTTGCTTCCCAAGGGGACCCATCAAAGAACCTCAGAAAACAATGTTATTCCATCCTTATACTTTAAGCCTGATAAAAAAGATTTCCCTGCAACTGGGGAATAATAAATAGAAAAAAACTTGTTACATCTGCAAGTAGTTGGAAATCAAGTAAATAGGAGTCTCTTGAAAAATGAACTATTCACCCAATAAAAAAATGAACTATCCACACAATTTTAAAACTAACTCTTTACCCAATTAAAAAAACTAGCCCAAAATCCCCAAAGGACTACAAACAAAACCCCAAACCTGGGTTAGACCAATTTCAATTCAACTAAGTGTTCAGGTTCAGTGGAGCTGAGTCATTTTTGAGGGTGTGCTGTGGGTAGTTGTGGTCTTTTGGTTGAAGTGATGACATCAGTTGAGAAAGCAGGTGCTGGAATCACCACGGAATATTTAAAGTCTTCTGTTACAACAGCGACAATTTAATCCTCTGTGTTACTTTCATTAGTTGTGTTGCAATGAAGGAAAAATGAAGGAGTCATACTTTACTTACACCCTCAAAGATATCTGCCATCTCAAGGACTACTTTCTTAAAGCACTTTGAGCTCTACATGCAGGCTCATTCTTCAGCATGTTTGGACTCTGTAATAAAACCATTTATATTGTTCCTGGCAACAAAAAATGCCTGCTGCTTAGTTGAAAGGAAGGAAACAATAGTACTGATAAAGTTGCTTAATTCTCAGTGAATGATCCAAACTAGCACACAGAACAGTGAAAGGGACAAGTATTTATTTCAGCTTGTTAAAGGGAGGTGTTGCAAAAGGAGGTGTTTGTGGAAAGAACACCGAGAACATAATGAATGTAATCACCACTGAGGCTACTGTCAATGGTTAACTTTCATCAGTGACCTGGATGAAGGGATGGAGTGTATCCTCAGCAAGTTTGCTGAGCATACAAAGCTGGGAGGATTGGCTGATACACCTGAAGGCTGTGAAGCCA